TCCCTCAAGGCATTCATGCCAAAGAGGGAAAGGGGAAAGTTAGGATAGAGTAACAGGAAGGAACCGTGTGAAATAGTGAAAACAAATTCCTTCTTCCAATCTCAGCTCGAAAAAAGTCATTCTTCCCATGCCGAGTTCTTTGTCAGCTTATATTGCTGATCGTTATCGTGCCGGTTCCAAGACATAATACAGGGTGTTTCAAAAGTCCCTCACTAACTTAATTTTCAATTTTTTTTTGCAGGTAATCGACCAACGACATTCATTGACTCTAAGTAAACTCTTACTAAGTGCTTGAGAATTTTTTTGAGTCTACATTTGAAGTTCTACGCCGTTTTTTTTTTCTGTTACCATGCTGACTAGAGCAGAGATGTAAAATTGCTGCATGACAGGAAGTTTTTCAATCCGTAGTCGAAGTGCAGCGACGATTCAGGGCAGTCTACGGACAGCATTACACACCTGATAGGAACACCATCGTCGCCACCCACCGGAAGTTTATGGAGACCGGATCCGTAAAGGACAAGCACCGATCAGGAAGACCTCGATGTGGGCGGAGTGAGAATATCGAAACTGTCCGTGAGGCGTTAGCTCAGAGTCAAGGAAAGTCCATTCGACGAGCAGCTGTGGAACTGAGCATCAGCGTGACGTCTATACAACGGATTTTGCGGCGTGATCTCAAGCTGTATCCGTACAAGGTCCAGGTAGTTCAGAAGCTGGAACCTCAAGACTACGATTGCCGGGTGGAGATGTGTGAAACACTGCTGGATCACTACGAAAGAGACCCATCGATCCTGGAGCACATGTGGTTCAGCGACGAAGCTCTATTCCACCTTTCTGGTCGCGTCAATCGGCACAACACCCGCATCTGGGGAACTCACAATCCTATGGAGATCCGTGAACATGAAAGGGACACGCCGAAATCGGTCGTCTGGTGTGCCATCTCCTCAGCTGGGCTGATAGGTCCGTTTTTCTTCCGGGATCAAGATGGAAATTCCGTAAACGTCAACGGAGAAAATTACCATCGTATGCTTCAGAAGTTCTGCATCCCCAACTGTCAGCTGTAGCCGACATGCAAGAAGTCATTTTCCAGCAAGATGGTGCCCCTGCTCATTACTCACGTGAGGTTCGCTCATTTCTGAATGAGCAGTTCCCGGATCGGTGGATTGGTCGCCGTGGTCCCGTCGAATAGGCTGCTCGCTCTCCGTATCTTACACCATGTGACTTCTTTTTGTGGGGCTACATTAAGAGCAAAGTGTACGCCACCAGACCGCGAGACCTCCTCGCACTAGAAGAACGGATCAGAAACGCATGTGCTTCTGTTACTCCCGAAATGTTGTTTAATGTCGGCCAAGAATGCGTGAAACGGTGGCTCGCTTGTTTCGAAAAAGGTGGTGCCCACGTTGAGGTGTACCAGTGACTTTCTAGTAGACATATGAAGCCAAGTTTAATTCCACCAGAATTCTCGTGAATCGTAGACTCTGCAACCAAATTGTCATTTGATTCCTCTTGTAATTGTTTTAATTAATTTTTTAAAGTTAATGAGGGACTTTTGAAACTCCCTGTATAGCAAAGGGCATAATTTAGTAAAACCATTCTCGAACAAATAGTGCCTGATGCAACTGGAAGAATGTATGTAGCATGTGTACGTCATGAAGTGTATTTTTGCGTTTTCATGAACGGATCTTTTAATAGAGCATGCATTTCTGATTAAAATCATTCCTTCCCTGCCAAGGAAGGGAAAAAGATTTCGCCGTCGCTGTATGGTTTCTTCGTGATTCTCTATTCCTTCCTTCCCTGTCTGGCATGAATTTCTCGAGGGAAAGTGCTCATGCATCCATGAAGGAGGTTCTCCTTTACTTCGCATGTGGTCAGAATCAAGTTAGCTAGGTGTATTCTTTATGTTCTACGCCATACCGCTCCTCTTCTTTCAAATTTTCATCTCTTTTCTTTATCTTCCCAAAAGACAGATGTACTAATGAGTCCCTTGCTCCCTTAGGCATTACTGTAACTCATGACCTCTTCGCGGACTGAGGTATACATGTATTAAACGCACTTGCGAGTGCATTAAAGCCACTGCTGCACTTCTTCCTTTCAATAACTGCTTCTCTCAGCACTTCTACGGTTAATCGGTTACTGTCGGACAGCTGTCGGCTTGTCGGTATAATTTGTCAATAGGCAGTAACTGCGTATTCTGAGAGGAACTTTTCCCCATTGTCTTTAGTTTTTCTCAATTTCTAGGAGTGGTTGCATTTCCAAACTGGGTGGTTATGAGAATTCCAAATTTTGCAGGTGAGCCCAGTCATAAAAGCCAGGTTTCAATTGCTTTTAGTCCAAGCTTCAATTCTGTTACTTGCAGTATTAATATTACGCAACTCCAAACCTGCAAGTTCGTTCCCGAAGTATGTCCTGCTGACATGTCCGAGTTTTCCGAGTCGATAGAATATCAAAATAAATAAAGCAACAGGATCACTAATGAATAAACTTGTGAATATCACGCTTAGATAATATTCCCAACTGAAAATGACCATGTCTTGAACAGTACGCAGTACAACCATTCTTAATTACGAACTTGCGGATAACCATAAAGTCAGTTCAATATCTGTCGAGTACTTTAGTAACAAGAGATGGGAACGAAAGTAAAGGAGCGTATGAAAAGGAAATAGTTGACTTGGCAGAATAAGAAATCCAACTAAGACTGAAAATTTTTCACAAGTTAATTGACTTTAGGGACGCGAAAATGATATGCTTCCGTGTGCCACTACACTGTCCTTGGAATTTCCTGATATTGCAGGGTGTGCCATCTGCATTTGACTGTAGCAGTTATGGACTTACCCCCTTGCATGAAGATGCCAAGTAATAATCCACTATTGTAAAATCGGGCAGCATAAATCATTGCAGGGATCATGCTTTGAGACATTCCTTCTCCGTGATTGAGCAGGAATGAGTAAAAATTTTAAAATGATTTTTCGCACTATATTACGCTAAACACGTAACATCCAGTCACGTTGCGCATTAGATATTCTTACGCCCTTCCGGTCTGCTAGTCTTCCTCATTCTAAGCGAGCGAGCCATCGCCCCAACCGCACGGTTAGTGAAGTCTATTCTTATATCTCCAAGTTTTTTTATGTTAACATCGTATAGGTTCCATTAGGTTCTATCCCTTCTACCTCCATGATTTAGGGAGATTGTTGATTCTTATTGCAGCCTCCGCCCGCATTTTCTTTAAAGACATGCCACCTGTGACATATATATCACCTGTTGGTGTCCAGATGTTATCATCCATGTAGAACCCGTAATATCTCATTTGGTCATGGTCTAGCATGTTCCATGAGCCAATCTTGAAAGGTTTGGGGACCTCTCCGCGCGTGGACGGATTATTAATCCTTTCAGACGATTATGGTACATGAGATGGGAGGGGTGGGCTTCGTCTGATGGTGTTTGACTCGAGCCTTCACGTGATTACATTATTCTGTCTGGGGAACGGGAGGACAACGATGTTGCATTGGGGTCGAGAACGCCAACGTCAGAGCGTTTGCCTGGGAAATAGCGAAACGCGATATGATGAATTTTCATTTGTTCCTGTTTAAGAGTTCATAGTCACGTTTCTGTTGGGAACGGAAATAGCGACTTTTCAATAACAATAATGTATTTTAAATATTTCAGTGACGTAGGACTTAGAACCTTAACTTTCGAAACGGGAAATTTTTGGAACGACAGGGAAAACGAAAACGGGCGTTTTCGGCCTCCATTGAACATGGCGCCCCCCCCCCCCCCCCAGCGTCCGATTTCCTCATAGAGAATAATGTTAGGTGCTGTTCGAAACCTCTTAGCATTATCAGTCAAAGCGCCCTCCTGCTTCATGTACTAATCATCTCAGAGGACCCTTTTAGGCCTATTCCAGGTGACTCCGCAAAAATCTTTAAGTGGGAAGGTATTATAAAATTGTTCCGAAATAACTTCCTAAATTGAAATACTGGTAAAACCTATATTTCCTGTTCTTTTGCTAAAGGCGATATATATTTAGAAGAAATGAGAGGGAAAAATTGTATAGACGGACGGTACAAACCTGTTGACGCTGCCCCTCCCCTGTGTCGAATGAGAGCGAGCGTAGCACTACAACGACGGAAGTAGACACGATTGAGGGCGGAGGTCACGTAATAGTATAAAAAATATAGTGCAATGATTTCGAGAAATATAACGCCACAAATTATATATTCTCATGCCGTGCTTTTCTCTCTGTGATCTACAAAGCATTTCCTCCTTTTCCCCGATCTGAGTCAAGGTATGCGAAGTCGAGAAATAATCGAGAAAACTTGCCTCGACGCATTTCCAAGACACAGGTGTTTCTTCCCTATTTTCACCTGTCATCTTTTCACGAAGGGGGTGGTTAATGTGTTCCTACAATGATACATAGATGGCGTGCTCGTACCAAGCTTGTTGGAGAATGAAGATTCCGATCGTGCGAATGATAACAGATAAGGATTTTTTTTCATATATTCAACGCGAAGAAGCTATGGAGAAAACCTTGGATTTTCCAAGAGAGAATGGCAGAATCCCCCCCCCCCTCCGATCGATTCCTGTCTGGATGCCGGGAAGTGAATACATGTACCCAAAAGCCCCATGAAATGAATAAATTTTTTTCCTCTTAACTCCGGGTATATATACGTACGAGCCTCTATAGGGGGAGAATGGTTCCCCTTGCTACCACAGCTTTGCCTGGTCAATTTTGCGGCTCCGCTTTGCCTGACCATTTTGCCTCCATTTGCAGCGCCAATTTACTTGCTGAACACCAATGTCCGATTCACAACCAGCTAAAGTAGGGAGACCTTCAAGCAGCTACGAAATGTCCACGGAAAAGTGGACTGCTTCCAAAATCCATTCATTGGCCAGTTTGCGACGTAAGTAATACCAACTATGGTATTGTGTTTCTTGCACGTATTTGTTGGCAAGGAGTAGTAGGCACCACCACGAACCGTATTGTCATAGTAAGCATCGTGTTTGATGGTTTTTAGCACAAGTATTCTTACTTAAAAAGATTAGAGCTATATTTTTTCTTGATCCACAAGAGACAAACAGTCCCGAGACGGAAACGGTTCTGCCTAACTTCATTCATTGTTAACGTGCTAATGGATGTATTGTAGAATCAATCTAATCCTCTAACGATGATATTACAGCTCCTGACCTGGTCCAACTCCTTATTGAAAATGGATGGCTGCACAGAGAGAGGGCGTGCCCCAAGTGCGGGGAACATATGATAAGTATGAATGCTTCCAAAATAAGTGACGGGGTCGCGTTCAGATGCCGAAGGACCTCCTCCTCCACCAGGACGAGTGGATCAAAGAAGAGACAGAAGAAAACCAGATGCGATGAGTTTGTATCGGTCAGGAATGATTCCTTCTTTCAAAATTCAAATGTAAGATTAATCGAAATTTTGCATATCATTTATCTCTGGATTCATGACCTGCCCCTGGAGTACATCACTGATGAGACAGGAGTCTCCTCCAGGACAGTCATAGATTGGGCCTCCTGTAGAGAGATGAGACTTTCTACACGCATGTCACGACATTCCTCATATATTTGGGTTCATGTATAAGTCTCCTTTATCGCAGGTATGCATTGAGGAATGCATTTGGAAAGGGGAGAGGACCGGTGGAGAGGGGAAAATCGTGGTGTTGGACGAAAGTTCGGCCGCAGGAAGTACCACCGAGGCCACCACGTCGAGGGTCTATGGGGTTTTGGCGGCGTGGAGCGAGGAACAGGAAGGTGTTTCCACGTTCCCGTCAAGGAGAGGAATTCAGAGACGCTGTTCCGCCTCATTCGAATCTGGGTTTGTCCTGGGACATTGATCATGACTGATTGTTGGGCTGCATATGACATCTCAAAATCCCAGCCTTTCAAACACCTGACGGTGAACCACAAACTAGAGTTCGTCAATCAGAGCACTGATCCACCAACCCATACGAACACTATTGAAGGTATGTGGCGGCACGCCAAGGTAAGTTTACCAGATTGTTCGAGTAAGAAGGCTCACTTTGTGGGGCATTTAGCAAAAGTTATGTACTTACGTAAGTTAAAACAAGAGATATTTGACGTCTTCAAGCGCTTCATGGATGATGCTTTTGCCCTCTTCAAGAATGGCAGAAGGCATCCCAGTTTGGATATGGTAATGACGAGAAGTGGATGCTACAATACCTCGGTGTCCTAACTGTGAGTTGCATCTCCGTGTTTCCTACCTACAAGGTGGCCCTAAAAAAGGGCACTCTTTTTCAATGCGCATTTTAGGTGAAGCCGGAGGGTGCAGCGCCCATTTATCATAACCAAAATTTTGAAATTATTTTCTGAGTCACTGTTTAAAATATTTCAAGTCTGAAAAAAGGATTTTGTAGCTAGGTCTTTCTTCTTTCCATGAAATGTAACCGGAAAAATATATCCATGAAAGTATCACCTAAAATGCACATTTAAAGAGTGCCTCTTTTTGGACCACCCTATGAATGCACATGGCTTTCGACATTCATAGGACTAATTGTTTTTTTTCTCCCTTCAGGACAGTGAAAACCCCAAGGAAGACACCGAGGATGACAGCAGCTCCACTGATCTGATTCAACCATTTCCAAAGTGGGATTCATCCATGGAGGGCTGTTTAAATGGAATACCGTGGCCTGCCGCTTCACTTCTATAACATGGGTTTGGAATGATTGGCGAACCGCATCCAGGTGTTGGAAGCGGTCCAATTTCCTGACATTCTTTGGTGCAGCCCGATAAGCACTCCTATCCATTGAGGCGGAAAATCGTTGAATTCCTCTCCTTTTTCTTCACCCACATGCAACTCCCTCCCACATCTAGAGACCTCATGGTTGATGGCATGGTGGACCTGGTGTGACTTTCTTCTGGCATTACTCTTCCCCAACTCCATTAGTTCCAGCTCTTCATCGGTCTTCTGTTTCCGACCGTCCTAACACCTTCAACAGGAGAAGGTCTATTCCAGGGTCTTGTCACGAATCCAGAGATGTTAACTTTGTTCCTTGTAATTATTAAGGTTTATTTTGACATATTAGAATCCTTCCTGCTGAACAGATACTTCGCGTCCGGTCGTCTCCTGTACTTTTTTGTTTTTTGCACTTCTTTAGTTTCGTGCACTTTATTTTTTTATTTATGAAAAAGAAATGATAATTTTAGTATTTTCTGCCTCCAAATGGTACCGTTTTCATTGGATTCACTCCTGCTGACTTATCACCTCTCTGTTGTTGAAAATTGCTTGAAATTGAAAATTGCCCACAGCCTTTTCTTTATATTCATCTTGTCTTAGTGGTGTGGGAGCAATTGTAAAGTTAAGCCAAGCGCGACAGGGAGTCGATGTCAAGAAAGTTCGAACGGTATGTTAATGTCGGAGAACGTGTCCAGTGAAGATCCTGGAAGAGAAAAACACTCCCACGGAGTGCATCCCGGATTACCTCAACTTCAGACATTCACTGTCACTCACGGAAAATGCCGTTTTCACGCATCTCTTAGCTTATGACCGAAAAAGACTTGCATGCTTCGCGTGTTAGGCGAAGGTTGCAGAGGCTTAGGCTGAATTTTCGAAATGTGCATGACAGTGAATGTGGTAATCGAGACACTCAGCAGAAAAAAATTATAATAGCTTCAATTTAAGGCCGAGGGCGTGCGGAGGATGGAACGTTCTGGAATTCAAGCGAAAAGTTGACCAACTGATCGGCATCATCACCATTGTCGATATAGTGAGGAGTCTACATTTCGACTTCTAAGGAGATGACACGTCCATTATATTGGGTTGATGCAAAAGTCTTTTGGTTTTTTGAAAAGGCGTTCACTTGTTTACATGCATTTAAAAAAAAAAAACGTTATTGTACTAAGAGATACTACACTTGGTAGCCTACTTCACAACATCCTTGTTCTCTTGTCTGCCGAGTTCATTGTAGAGATAATGGCATAAGAGAAGCAGCATGTTCGTCACTGTATTTATGAGCATCAGCTTGGACACTCAGCCAGCGAAGCAGCCCGAAATACCAGGTATATGCCACGCAGTTGGAGCAGGGGCAGTGTCCACTCGAGTGCGCCAGAATTGGTTTCAACGGTTCGCAGAGAGACACCAGTCTCGAAGATAGGTCGAGGTCAGGCCGACCATTAGTGCTGCATCCGGAGCAATTTCTCTCCTTGGTGGAATCCGACACTCTTCGGACTTCGAGCTGCCTAGCACGTACTGTAGGGTGCAACCACAGCACCATCCTTCGCCAGCTTCATTCGCTTGGAAAAGTAAGTAGACTTGGAACTTGGAACCTCACGCTCTAACCCAACATGACCTTGACGCGCGCTCCGAGGTTTGCGTGAATCTTCTGTCCAAGTCCCGCCGCTTCGATTGGCTAGACAATATGCTCACTGGGGACGAAAAGTGGCTAGTGTATGCCAACCATACCCGCAAGCGTCAGTGGATCGGCAAGGAGGAAAAGCCGGATCCAGAGCCGAAAGCCGATCTTCACCCCAAGAAAGTCATGCTTTCACTTTGGTTCGACGTTCACGGAGTCACCTACTTCGAGCTGCTGCCGGACGCCCTGGCCACCATCACCGCTGCCTCGTACTGCGATCAACTGGAGAGACTCGCGGCCAAACTCAAAGAACAGCGCCCAGGACGCAAGAAGGTATACCATCTTCGATGCACGGCCACACACAGCCAAGCAGACTCGGCAGAAGATTCTCGAGTTAGGATGGAAGCTGCTACCCCACCCAGCGTACTCCCCAGACGTCTCCCCTTGCGACTACCATGTCTTCAGGAGCCTGCATAATCACCTGTATGGAAAGAAGTTCGATGACAGGAAGCACCTCAAACCGGACCTGGTCGTATTCTTTGACGCCAAGCCTCCATCATTCTACGCAGAGAGCATCCACGCTCTGCCCCATAGGTGGCGACATGTCGTGGACAACGATGGCGATTATAACATTGGTTGATGTTATAAATAAATTTGTTGAACAGAAGTATCAAAAAACGAAAAGACTTTTGCATCGACCCAGTACATAGCTCGTTCACAAATTATCGGAAACGCAATGGTCCGCCAAACCCACGTAGAGCACACATAGGCCACCCTGTACTCGCAGAAGTGTTCCGCTGCCCACATCGAGCACCCTTCGAAACGAATTTCTTTAGCAGCACATACTTTTCTTGTATAATGAATCGTTCCAGACTAGGACCACAAATAGCTGACTTCCATGCAAGTCTTACCGATAACGCCAGAAGCAATGCCGACGAACGGCAACAATTTGACGAAAGTCACTACCAAGCACAACTACCTGCTACCAAATACACATTGTCAATCTAGTCTCGCAACGCCTGTTCGATCGTTGCTAGCGCTTTATCCCATTAGATAACGTCCGTAATTCGGATCAACGCCTAAGTGCTGCATGGTCCGATGATGAAATGGTGATGCACTTCTCATTACGGATTTTTAAGCGCCGCTGCATTCGAACCACCTTAGCCACGTCCTAAACGTAGAGTTGATCATTTGCTGATTTGCTTCAACGGAGGAACGACTTTAAAATATTCGGAGAGGTCTATTACATGCCTGGGACCAATCTACTCTTTTCGATGAAGTAGTACGGGGCGTTACAAGGTATGTCAAGAATCATTGCATCGAAGGATGCAAACGCGTATGTGCTGCTGTACTGCCTGACGATCTCGTGAACATTGTGAGCCTTTTCAACTCTGGCGGATACTCTAATGGGTTCGTTTGGAACACCATACCGTTACAATAACTGTGCCGAAATGTGCTTTTCTCCGCTTCAAAATGGACAGACCAGCAGTGCTGAACAGAGAAATCGATGATCGTAGTGCCAAGATCGTGCGTAACGGCTGGAATGATGTTAGGCGTCCTGGCCACCGCAGTCAGAGTATTAGATGATAGTGCAACGTGAACACGCACTTCTCTCCATTTAGCGTTGACAGCCTCACGTTGCCTTGCGGTTAACGCACTTCTCTCCATTTAGCGTTGACAGCCTCACGTTGCCTTGCGGTTAATAAAGCCCTACGCTACCTCCTTTCTGCTCTCCTCTCGGCATTCATATTCACAGTAGTAAGTGGCGACCTATGAAGCCTCGCCGCTTCCATTCTGTGGGCGCGTCGCATCACATCTAAATATTCAGCGGCTTAACCCATTAACTGTGACACTCGAGTATAATCGAGCGCAGAGTGCCGTGCCGTCGGTGATTCCTACCGCTCATGTATAATAGTTGTAATTGTGATTCTATAGCTTTAAAAAACACGTTGCATCAAAGACTGATGTGAATACAGACTTCTTCCTAATCTCCTATAGTAGCACATTGTTCCACACCGACGATGTAGGACCCGTATGCGCTATTTTCCCAGCCAGATTCTAGGAATATCTTTCGAATACAAATACTCAAAATGCTAGTGTCATAAAAGTACATGTTAAGATTAGAGCGCCGGAGCCCCCGCGGTGCTGCACGGGCTGTGCCTTTGTCAGGGATGTGCCTCATTAACGCTCTATTACGTTTGGGGGGGTGTGAAGTGACATCCGGTCATGCCTTCGTCCTACTTGTTCTGTCCGTGCCAGTCTCATGCTGTCACGTCACCCGGCAGTGCTTCCTGTCCTGGTTTCGCTTTTGTGATTCTCTAGTGTGCCAGCATCTCGCACGTGGTTGTTTGCCTGTGGAATAATTAATGGAGGTTACGTTAGTGAGGCATGTGCCAAAGAGAATGAGGACTGTTTTAGTTCTGATCTGCCGGCCTCTGACTCTTTGGGTTCTACCTTAAAGGTCTTCTCCATAATCACCCAAGCCATCTCTCTCACCTCGCTGTGATATATCCTTCTTAATTAACTCATTCTAAAATTAAATTATAATTGTTCCTTGATGTTTCAATGCCGCTTGGACAATTGTCATCAGTCGTTTCCTTAAACGACGCATCCTGTCCGTGGAGCGAGGCCGGACACTTTTTGCCTCAGTTTAACCGCTCGTGCGCTCTTTCCATTTCTTTCGACCTAAAGTTGACTGGAAATTGTCCCTTTTTCAGACTCTCCAACAATAGTAAAATAATAGGACAACAATAATAATGACAGGACCATAGTACTCCATACTTGAATTAGCCTGATACATCTTCCCGCTTTGTGATGATTAAACGGAAACTTTCGGTCTTAGCATTCTCGCTTATTGGACACTCTAACGTACATTTACGTCTCCCTCCCTGAAAATGCTTCAATATGTGAAACAAATCTGCACAACGGTGGCGAATGACCACTAAAATCTACGAATTGAAGGAACAACTTATCTCGTCTGGCTTAGCAACTGGAAAGGCTCATAGGCTAATCGTCATCCAAGCGTATGCTTGGGAAAAAGCAAAGGCTTTACTGGCTACCAAGCCGATCTCCTGGTGTAGGAAAAGCTTTATCGGCCAATCAGCTTCGAAAACCACAATACCTCGGAACACGTTTGGAATCGTATTTTCGATCGTACTTTTCGAATGTACTTTCGATTGAACACACTAACAGGCAGGAAAATCCGCGAAAAAAGGAAACAAACGCGAGGCTTATATCTCGGTTGAACTTTTTTTTTTAAGGCGTTTCACCACTCCGCACATCATCGGCCCCGCATTCATCACAGAGCATACGTAAAGACTGGATAACGTAAACGTCAAAAACCATTCCTATCTCATGT